CTCTGTTTAGTTCTGTAGCCCATTTCTTAATTGGACTGTTGGTCATTTTGATGTCTAATTTCTTGGGTTTCTTATATATTCTGGACATCAGTCCTCTGTCAGATAAGCAGTTGGTGAAGATCTTTTCCCATTCTGTAGGCTGTTGCTTTGCCTTGTTGACCATATCCTTTTCTCTACCAAAGCTTCTCATTCTCAAGAGGTCCCATTGGTTGATTGTTTCTCTCAATGTCTGTGCTACTGGTGTTATATTTAGGAAGTGATCTTCGATGCCAATGTGTTTAAGACTACTTCCTACTTTCTCTTCTATCAGGTTCAGAGTAAGAGCTTTTTGACTTACACTTACCCTTGTCTATATAATGCTTTTTGGAACAGCTGTGGCTACACAGAAAATAAAATGTCTCTAATACTCAAATGTGCATTTATGTGTATATATCCCCCCCTCTTCTCCACATTGTGTCCATGGAAATTCAGTTTTTTCTCTTTCATAAATATAGATAAATTGCAAGTACCTAAATAAATGTAACACATACACATATACACAAAATAATATAATGACATTTTAAGCCATCTCTTTATGGCCTGAACATTGGGCCTACAATGGACTATGATTTTTTACCCAGTTTTTTTTATTTGTTTTGTTTTGTTTCTCGAGGAAGGTTTCTTTGTGTAGCTTCCATATTTCCTGGTACTCACTTGGTAGCCCAGGCTGTCCTCAAACTCACAGAGCTCGGCATGGCTCTGCCTTCAAGGGATTAAAGGAGTGTGCCATCACTGCTTGGCATTTACCCAGTTTTTAAAAACTGTAATTGGTGGGGGGTAGTGTTTTTGCACACCTTTAATTCCAGCACTGGATTGGCAGAGGTAGGCAAACATGAGTTCAAGGCCTATCTAGTCTACAGAGTGAGTTCCAGGACACTAAGGGACACCCAAAGAAACTCTGTCTCAGTCAGGGGTATCATTTGGGCTGTTAAGAGCACTAACTAGCCAGGCAGTGGTCTTGCACTCACTTAATCCCAGCCCTAGGGAGGCAGAGACGGGCAGATCTCAGAGAGTTGGAGGACAGCCTGGCCAATAAAGGCAGATCCAGGACAGGTACCAAAACTACACAGAGAAACTCTGTCTCCAAAAACAAAAGAAAGCAAAACAAACAACATACAAACAAACAAACAAACACAAGATCAAACAAAGAAACAACAACAAGAAACAAATAGCTGCTTTTCCAGATGACCTGGGTTAACAATGTACCTCACAGCTGCCAGTTACTCTAGTTCCAGGGGATCAGACCCTGGGCCAGACATCCATACAAGCAAAACACCAATGAACATAAAAATAAATTATAAAAAAAGATTTAAAAACGCATAAGGGCTGGACAGTGGTGGTGCACAGCTTTAGTCCCAGGGCTCAGGAGGCAGAGCCTGGCAGATCTCTGTGACTTGGAACCCAGCCTGGGCTAGAGAGTGAGTTCCAGAAAAGTATCAAAAGCTACACAGGAAACCCTATCTCAAAAAAGGAGGAAAAAAAATAGGCAGTGGTGCATACTTTTTAATCCTAGTACTCTGGAAGCAGAGGCAGGCAGATCTCTGTTGAAAGGCTTCAAAGATACAGAGAAACCATGTCCTGAAAAAAAAAAAAACACAGCAATAAAAACAAACAAACAAAAAAATAAGAAACCTCAATAAAAGTCATGGTTCACAAAATTGGAATTTGGTGGTATCTGTACTTTTTTCTGTTCCTGGTTCTCTGTCTCAGGTGACTAAACATTTGTTGGTTGCATCTCTACCAGAAAAAATTTGTCATACAGCAAGATCTGACAGTGCAGTAATATTTAGAATACACAATGAAATATTTTTAAATGAACTGCAAGAAAAAGCAGCCTTAAAAGGCCATGGTGTCACACAACCTTTAATCTTAGCACTAGGGACATAGAGGCAGGTGGATCCCTGAGTCCTTGGCTAGGCTGGTCTACCTAAATACAGTTCCAGGAAAGCTGGGGATATAAAAAGAAACCTGTTTCAAATGAATAAAGTAAAGAAAACAAGTAGATTTTCTTTTTAAAATTTAGTGAATGGGGTATAGACCTAAAGAGAAAGTCTCAAAAGACAGAACACAGATGCCAGAGCAACTGTTTTGAATGTAGTTAAACAGGCTGGGTATGTTGGATTACTCCTTTAATCCCAGCACTCAGGAGGCAGAGACAGGAGGATCTTTGTGAAGGTCACTTCATCCTGTTATATACTAAGATCTGCAGGACAGTTAGGTCAATTTGTAGTGAGCTCTTTTCTCAAAAACAAACAAACAAATAACCAAAACAAACAAACAAAAAGGAAAAAAACAAATGAACAAACCCAATAGGCAGGAAAGTAGTGGCTCATGCCTTTAATCCCAGCACTTATCAGGCAAAAGCAGGCAGATCTCTGAGATCAAATGCACTTGGGTCTACCTGGTTCAGAAGACAGCCAAGGCTACACACAGAAATGCCATCTCAAAATTATGTATATGTCATATTGAGCAATAAGATCAATGCAAATTGAAACTACTCTGAGATATTCTTAGCTAATCAGAGTGGTCAAGATTTAAAAAAAGGACACCTTATATTGTGGAAGATGTGGACAAAGAGGAACACTTATTTCTTGCTGGTGGGAGTGCAAACTGTTGCAGCCACTATAGAAACAATGTGGATATTCCTCAAAAGATGACAAAACAGGGCTTGGGTTGCAGGTCTGGAATGCCAGCCAGTCAGGCCTGAGGTAGCCAGGCTGCATTTCAGAGCTGTCAGGGCAAGTCAGTGGGACCCTGTACCCAAACTAAAAATAGAAGGGTAGAGTGGCCACATTGGCTCTTCTAATACAGGAGTTTGCCACAAAGTCTGGTGACATATGAGAGTAAGAGGGTGGGAGAAAAAAAAATCCAACTCCTACGAGTTTTCCTATGACATCTATGTTGCTGGAGGGCTTCTCTCCTCGTTCCACCAAACCCCGCAGTCCCACAATCCACGTATAAAATAATCACTCAGACGCTTATAATACTTATAAACTGTATGGCCGTGGCAGGCTTCTTACTAACTGTTTTTATATCTTAAATTAACCCATTTTTATAAATCAATACCTTGCCACGTGGCTGGTGGCTTACCGGTGTCTTTACATGCTGTTTGTCGTGGTGGTGGCTGCAGTGTCTTTCCTCCTTCTTCCTGTTTCCCCAATCCTACTCTCTCCTTGTACCGCCTATACTTCCTGTCGGGTCACTGGTCATCAGTGTTTTATTTATATAGAGCGATATCCACAGCACATTTACACCTGTATAGTGAGCTGTGACTGCTGGCAGCCACATAAACATATATTAAAGAAGGCTGGGATATACTTCTATGCTGAGCTGTGTCATAGCATATACTGAGTATGGCTTTATATTATGTAATTACATGTTGTGCTGACATATAAGTATATCACTATTATTGTCTTTATATAGCTCTTTAAGGGGTCCTGCCACCCAGTTCCCTAATAAATAACACATGGAGATGTATTTTTTTTTTTTTTTCGAGACAGGGTTTCTCTGTGTAGCTTTGCGCCTTTCCTGGAGCTCACTTGGTAGCCCAGGCTGGCCTCGAACTCACAGAGATCTGCCTGTTTCTGCCTCCCGAGTGCTGGGATCAAAGGCGTGCGCCACCA